GCGGCCTCCCGCCCAGGGGTTGGAGCGCCGAGGGCGGGCCCCCTGAGCCCGCCTGCCGGCAGAGCCCCCTTTCTCCCTGGCCAGGGTTGACGACAACGACGGGGAGTTTCTGCTGATAGAAGCTGCTGATTTCCTGCCGAAGGGGCTGAATCCCGAGAACAGTGAAAACCGGGTGAGTTCAGGGCTTTCCTGCAAATGAGCGGGTGTACGGGAGACTTAACCGCTGGCCGGCTCTGACGCTTGTTTTTGCCCCGCGTGCTCCTACAGGATGCTAGGTAAAATGAATGAGAAACTGCTGTAGGAACATCTAAAAGTGCTGCAGCTATCGAGTGGTTCTTCTAGAGTCGTTTTTTCAAAGCCCTCGTGCGCTCGAGTCAGAGGAGGAAAAAAGAGAGCTTTCTTCTACTCATAACGTGACGCTCGCGCAGAGACTCGAGACCTGCCTGAGAGCCTCTGAATCCCTCTTGATTAGCTAGATCTGATTCTTGCACATAAATCAGCCTTTCAGGGTTGTTAACTGACTTGGCTTCTGTAAACCTACCGTTAGTGTTGGCTAAAACAGTGCAATTGCGAAGACAGAGAAGGTGTCATGCTGTTTATTAATCTATAAAACCAGTTTGATAGTCTCCTTCCCGTTATCTAGGTTACTGGAGTGCTAGGAAAATTTAGATAATATGGGAACTGCGGAATATATTTGTTTTGCACGCATGCCATATTGCTTTCCTGAGGAGCACTCTTGCCCCTGTGTGAGCTTTCTAGCTCGGGTATAGCCGCTTGAGTTTTTCTACCATGTAGTGCTCAGGCAGGAGGGTTTGCTGCCTGCAGCCTGGGGAACGCTCAAGACTGGAGCGTCTCTGACTCTACAGGTTGACAGCCTGGGTCTGGCGTAGCTGAACCGATGAGCTGACTCCTTCGCCAGAGTCTGCAGCTGAATCACCTCACCGTAGATGATTGTCAGTGGATTATGTCACTGAATTTCTTACCTACAGATTTGAATGGAAAGAACTTACTTCTTCGTTAGCGGAGAATTTTTGTGTACTCCTCCAAGGCAGTTAAAAAGAGAAAGGAGGCGGGGGAAGACACAACACAAAAATGAATCACAAACCCTTAACTGGATTATTAGTACCATGTTCTCCTTCCATTTCAAGGATTGGGAGGTGACAATGCTAGATCCAGCTGTTCTTCTCTTAGGCTAAGAAAACAGCAGAGGTCACATGTCAGAGGCACCCGAAATGGTGCTCTTCAGTCATTGTCCTGTTCTTCAGCAGCTAGGTTATTTTGCTGTCAGGTTCTCCTGAAGTGGATCTCCAATTTAAGAGAAACTTTTGGTACGGCAGTTATTAAAGAAACAAGATTTATGTGATCAAACCTGTTGCTGCTATTAAAATAGCCTTTATTTAGTGGTTAGGTCATGGTCTTCAGTGCCTGTATGTACTTCATGCTGTTTCCTGTGTTATTTCAATATTCGTACTCCAGTATTCTCTGCGTTTAAACAAACACGTTCATCTATGAAAAGAAATTTTGCATTGGTCAGTCTGTGACTGTTTTTACCCTTCTGATGAAAACGTTACTGTCTGCCAGGTATTCTTTTACAAAGGTGAGCTGCACATCATTCCACTGCCGGAGACTCATGGGCAGGAATGGGAGCTACCTGCTTCCAGTCCGACAATCTCACAGGCGTTAACGTTGTTATCCACCCGTGCGGAGGAGTGTCTGGCCGCAAAACCCATTAGAACGGCCGTGTATAAACGCATCAGTGGGTACGTGGATGGTTTATGGTGTTCTGTAGCCGCTGATTCTTGGCTCTCTGGGGTACTTTCTTTCCTTGCATTCGGTCGTTTTCCTGTTCACTGTGCTAAAGCTGCTTCCTTTTCTGAAGCCCCAGGGAGAGTTTTTCTGTGGCGTTCTTTGGGGGGAGGCGGCACAGTCACGTAAACTGTAACCTTGTCTGGGGGCTCAGGTAGAGGTTCAATGTGATGATGCCGCACCTGACAGTGGTAGGAGTTACTCCACATCCTTCCCATACTAATTGGTGAGGAAATCTGAAAATTGTCTGAGTCCTCTGGGGGAAGAGGCAATCCTGAACAACGGTGCAGAACCAGCATGCTTTTCAGAGCATCAGCTCACTCTCTGAAATGGTCAGCAGTACATGTAATTTTCTGCAAGGATGTGACAGCCTGAGCCAGATGACCTCTGCAGTCAGCACAGTGAAGGAAGCTGCGTAGCTGGACATATTAGTTCAATTCACAGTGATGCTTTTTACCAATGTGGGGATTAAATTTTTCTTAGCTATATATTTTTATTTCTCTTTTTTTTTTTTTAAGTGAATCTTGTTTAGGCGTTCCATCTGGTAGATTAGCTGAGTTTTAACTTTATTTCAGAATAATCTTCTTGTACTCGGCCCATAGTACAGACTAATATTAAAGTAAAAATGGAAACAGTAATTAAAAAGGAGTGGTTTGGTCTTGCAATACACTTAATACACTATATTGCTATCATACGATACAGGTATCCTGAGAAAATTCAGGCCTCGTTTCACCGAGCCCACTGCTACCTCCCAGCAGGCATTGTGGCAGTGCTTAGGCAGCGCCCTTCGTTGGTGGCTGCAGCAGTCCAGGCCTTTTACCTGCGAGATCCCATAGATTTGCGAGCGTGTCGCTCTTTTCGGACTTTCCCTCCGGATGAGCGTGTGATGACTGTAGTAAGTGATGCTTCTAATTCAACTTGTTATCACTGAATTAAGTTCTGTTACTGATGGAGGTTCTGTGGTCAAGTTAGATAAATGTATGGGTTTCATTTTTAAAATAGCACGTTTTCTGATTTTCTCTTTTGACACTAGCCATGGATTTCCAGTTGATTATGTTAATAGCTTTGCTGCCTTCAGATTGATGTGGCTAGGCTTTCAAACGGGCTAAACGCCAGAGAAGAATTTCTGAAGTCGGAGGACACTACTGCTAATAGTTCCTCTGCTAAAATGTATTTAGATCTAACAAAGTTCGTATTTATTTAGAGATGTTACCATCTTTGAATATACTGTGTAAAATCTAAGAAGTGACACATCTTAGACAAATACATCTGTCAACTTCTAAATACCATCTGACAGATTGTCTGTAGTATGGATGCTTTAAAATACAATTCAGATGGCAGAGTGTGAAAGGTGATGCCCATATAGAACACGGTCGCGCTGCAGCGAGTGTTTTTCTTTTGCTCTGCTGTTTTCAGGTTACTTTCACAAAGTGTTTATATGCACAACTAATGCAGCAGAAGTTTGTTCCAGACAGACGCAGTGGATACACGCTGCCCCCGCCATCCCACCCTCAGTACAAAGCCCATGAACTGGGCATGAAACTGGTA